GGGGTGTTTTAAGAAGGCATTTCCATCCAGAAAAGGGAAAACCACCTGGATGTTTTTGCCCAGAAAAGGGGAAAAATACCAGGTACCTGCAATGGGTTATCGATATAAAGTGCGTCTGTGGGTTTATGCTTTTTGGCCGTACGGTGAGGTGGCGCAAGGAGTGTGTGAAGTGAACACATGAAGAACATGGAGTTACCCTGCAGAGCCACCCTGGTCCGGGCAGCCTCTTCTATGTCTTTATACACACTTCCAAAAAAAAAAAAAAAAAACCCAAACCAAAAAAACCCCCTTCGCAAGTCACAAACAATTCAGGATTCAACTAAGAAAACACAGAGTGAACCATATGGCCGGGGTGGCTCGAGTTGGCTGCATTTTCCCTCAGACAAAGAAGGGATTGAGAGTTGAAGGAAAGGAGAAAAAAACCCAACTTTCCGGCTGATGAAGCTGTTGTCTGGAGGCAATGATCCCAAATCTCAAGGCTTTATTCCAGGCTCCGACTGAGACGTGATATGTCATATGATTAGCATCTTTCATATTTACAAGAGTAGTGCGGGCTGCCAGTCTTTAGAGAAAGGCGAGAGAAAGAAGGGGCATATGCTGAAATGGATTTAGCATTTGAAAGAGAGAAAAGAGAGCGGATAAATACACTTAAACGAGGATTTAGTTTTACTCCCGTTGAGTTCTAATGGCTTGTTGATTGAGATTTTAGGGAGCTGGGACAGAGGTGTCAGGAGTAATTTAAAGGCGCTATTCAACCCTGCCCCGCGCGGAAGGACCCGCCGCTCCCCCTGAGGGAGGAGCGGTGCTGCGGCACCAGTGGCAGGCTGGCTCCAAGCGGGGCGGATCACCGCGGCCGCCGCCGCTCCCTCCGCCGGGCGGGCGGGTGGCACCACCTGGCGGCGGCGGGAAAGTGCGGGGGGCAAAGTTATCTGGGATCGGGAAAACGGGGGGAAAAATAGGGAATTCTCGGTGTGTTTGGCACCTGTCAGCCCGGACAGCACCTGCTGCTACAGGAGGGTGCTCACTGCCCCGGTCCAACCTGGCCTTGGGCACTGCCAGGGATGGGGCAGCCACAGCTTCTCTGGGCAACCTGTGCCAGGGCCTCCCCACCCTCACAGGGAAGGATTTCTTCCCACTATCCCATCCCATTTGAAGCCGTTCCCCCTGTCCTGGCAATCCACACCCTTGTGCAAGTCT